AGAGTTTTAATCAAGAAAGGATGCTATACTTTGTCAAATGCTTTTCTGCATCAAATGAGGATCATATGGTTTTTTTATTAATATGGTGTGTCACGTTGATTGATTTGGGGATATTTAACTATCCTTGCATCCCAGGAATAAATCCCACTTGGTCGTGGTGAATAATCCTTTTAATGTACGTTGGATCCTATGGGATAGTATCTTGGTGAGTATTTTGGCATCCACATTCATCAGGGACATTGGTCTGTAATTCTTTTTGATAAGGTCTTTGTCTGGTTTGGGGATCAAGGTAATGCTGGCCTCATAGAAAGAGTTTGGAAGTTTTCCTTCCATGTCTATTTTTTGAAACATCTTCAGAAGAATAGGTATTATTTCTTCTTTAAATATTTGGTAGAATTCTCCTGGGAAGCTATCAGCCCTGGACTCTTGTGTGTTGGAGATTTTTGATTAAGGCTTCAATTTCCTTGCTGGATATTGGTCTTTTCAGATTTTCTATTTCTTCCTGTTTCAGTTTTGGTAGTTTATAAGTTTCCAGGAATGCATCCATTTCTTCCAGATTGCCTCATTTGTTGGCATATAGTTGCTCATAATACATTCTTATAATTGTATTTCCTTGGTGTTGGTCATGCTCTCTCCCCTTTCATTCATGATTTTATTAATTTGGGTTCTTTCTCTTTTCTTTTGGATAAATCTGGCCAAAGGTTTATCAATCTTATTAATTCTTTCAAAGAACCAGCTTCTAGTTTCATTAATCAGTTCTGTTCTTCTGGTTTCTATTTCATTGTTTTCTGCTCTAATCTTTATCATTTCTCTTCTTTTTGGTTTAGGATTTATTTGCTGTTCTTTCTCCAGGTCCTTTAGGTGTAAGGTTAGCTTGTGTATTTGGGATTTTTCTAATTTTTTGAGAGAGGCTTGAATGACTACGTACTTCCCTCTTAGGACTACCTTTGCAGTATCCCATAAGTTTTGATCCAATGTGTTTTCATTTTCATTGGTTTCAATGAATTGTTTAAGTTCTACTTTAATCTGGGTTGACCCATTCATTCTTTAGCAGTATACTCTTTAACCTCCAAGTGTTTGCGTTCCTTCCAAATTTCCTCTTGTGATTGAGTTCAAGTTTCAAAGCACTGTGGTCAGAAAATATGCAGGGAATACTCTCAATCTTTTGGTATCATTTGAGACCTGATTTGTGACCCAGCACATGATCTATTCTAGAGAAAGTTCCAAGTGCACTTGAGAAGAATGAGTATTCTGTTGTTTTAGGATGGAATGTTCTGTATATATCTGTGAAGTCCATCTGGTCTAGTGTGTCATTCAAAGCCCTTGTTTCTTTGTTGATCTTCTGCTTAGATGGTATGTCCATTGCTGAGAGTGTGGTGTGCAAGTCCCCTACTATTAATGTATTATTATCAATATGTTTCTTTACTTTGGTTATTAATTGGTTTATATAATTGGCTGCTCCCATGTTGGGGGCATAAATATTTACAACTAGTAAATCTTCTTGTTGGATAGACCCTTTAAGTATGATATAGTGTCCCTCTTCAACTCTTATTACGGTCTTTGGTTTAAAATATTATTTGTCTCATATGAGGATTGCTACCCAACCTTCTTTTAAGGACCACTAGCATGGTAAATGGTTCTCCACCCCCTCAGTTTCAGTCTGGAGGTGTCTTTAGGTCTAAAATGAGTCTCTTGTAGACAGCATATGGGTCTTGCTTTTTGATCCAATCTGATATCCTGTATTTTTTGATTGGAGCATTTAGTCCATTTACATTCAGGGTAACTATTGAAATATATGAATTTAGTGCCATTGTATTACCTGTAAAGTCTCTGTTTCTTTCTGGTCTATGTTACTCTTTGGGTTCCTCTTCATTTACAGGATCCCCCTTAATATTTCTTGCAGGGCTGGCTTGGTGGTCACATATTCTTTCAGTTTCTGCCTGTCCTGGAAGCTCTTTATCTCTTCTTCCATTCTGAATGATAGCCTTGCTGGAAAAAGAATTCTTGGCTTCATGTTCTTCTCATTTAGTGCCCTGAATATATCATGCCAGCCCTTTCTGGCCTCCAGGTTTCTGTGGATAGGTCTGATGTTAATCTGATGTTCCTCCCTCTGTAGGTAAGGAACCCCTTTGTCTCGAGCTGGTCTCAGGATTCTTTTTCTCCAAAATTTGCAAGCTTCACTATTATATGTCAGGGTGTTGATCTATTTTTATTGATTTGGGGAGGGGTCCTCTCTGCCTCTTGGACATGAATGCTTGTTTCCTTCCCCAGGTTAGTGAGGTTCTCAGCTATGATTTGCTCAAATATACCTTCTGCCCCCCCTTCCCTCTCAGGCACACCAATAATTCTGACATTTGTTCATTTCAAAGCATTATTAAATTCTTAAAGCCTTTCTTCATGGGCTCTGAGTTGTCTTTCTCTCTTTTCCTCTATTTCCTTTCTATCAGCCTGTCTTCTAGATCCCTTACTCTCTCTTCTGCCTCATTCACTCTAGCTGTTAGAGCAACCAATTTAGACTGCATCTCAGTTATAGCATTTTTAAGTTTGGCCTGATTAGATCTCATTTCTGCACTTAGAGATCCTCTGCCGTCTTTTATGCTTTTTTCTAGCCCAACTATTAACTTTATAATTGCTGTGTTAGAAGACACTACCTCCCAAAATTGCAAAGAAAGCAAAACTTACCTATATACAAAAAATAAACTGAATAGTGAAAAAAAGAACTAAAATGAAGCATATACCTATTAAATGTATATGTAAAAAATAAAAGTTAAAAAGCAATTTAAAAACATAAAAAATGGAAAATTTTAGACTGAAAACCAAATCGTGAGAATAAATCTCAAACTCAATATACTATTTTCCCCTGGTGCTGAAATTTTACGGTCTTGTGGGATTGGTAACCTAGTTTGCACCTGTTCTTCCAGATTATCTTCTAAGGGAGGGGATTGCTCTACTGCTTCTCAGGTCTTTGCCTGGTTGGAGTTGCACTGCCCCTTGCCAGGGGGCTATGCTCAGTGTAAGTTGATCCTCTGTGTGGCTTTTATTCCCTGGAGACTTTCCACATGTCTTTAGAGGATCAGAATAAAAATGGCCATGCCCTGATCCCCAGCCCCAGAGCTAAAAGATCGTAGTCTCCCCTCTTCAATAAACCTGTGGGACAAACAGTCTTCACTTTTGTGTGTGCCAGTCTCCACAGTCTCTTGCAGTGCATGCCACTGTAATCCTCCTAGTGGGTGTCCAAGGGACCTGTGTCGCTGCCCTTTGTGTGCCCAGGAACTGAGAGTGATTGTGGGCTCATGTGCATACCCTGCTCCACTGTTCCCAGGGGACTGCTGGGTGTCACCCTACTGTCCTTTCCAGGGCTGCCACCCCAAGAGCTATTGCTCAGTCGTGGGTGCACCCTTTTTGCCCCTTCTGGGATGTGGCAAATGGCTGCATGTTCCAGTCCTTTTCAAAGTCCTCAGGCAGAGTGGTCACCCAACCAGCTCGGCTCGCAGTTTATGGTGACCCGGACTGAGAGTCCCCTCCTGGGCTCACTGACTATAACCAGTTTCCCCACTCTGCTGCTTGGGCACTCTACCAGTTCAGACACCCCCATCTGTTCTGTGACTCCTGGGATCCTGACACCACAATGACCCATCTAGAATTCTGCCCTTTTCATCCCCTGAGCCCCTTGTAGACAGGGATGTCTCTCACTGGAGCAGATTTCTAAGGGTTCTGATTTTGTCCTCTGGGGCTGTATCACTTTCTGGTAGCTGGCTTATGGAGGCTCCCTCCCCTCTCCGTTTATCTTCCAATATCTCCCCGCACCTCCTACCTTGCAAAAAAACAGTTGCTTTTCTACTTGTAGAGTTCCAGATATATTTTCTTATATCTCAGGCTGAATTCATGGGTGTTCAGAATGGTTTGATAGACATCCAGCTAAATTCAAGGGATCAGGTGAAACAAGGTCCCCTATATTTCTGCCCTTTTGCCACTGTGGAAGCTCTTTATATGTTCTGAATATTAGTTGCTTATCGGATAGATGACTTGCAAATATTTTTTCCTATTCTATGGGTTGTCTTTTCACTCTCTTATTAGTGTTCTTTGATGCATAAACTTTGTGTGTATGAAGTCTATTTATTCTGTTTTTTTTTCCTTTGTTACCTGTGCTAAGAACTCTTCATCAAATCCAACATCCATGAATATTTCCTCCTATGCTTTCTTCTAAGAGTTTTACTTTTGGTTTAGGTTTTAAGTCTTTGATCCATTTTGAATTAATTTTTGCATATTGTGTAAGGGTCCAACTTCATTCTTTTGTAGGTAGATATCCATTTTTATAGTAATGTTAGTTGAAAAAACTGTCCTTTCCCCATTGAATGGCCTTATATGTGAGGGTTAATTTTTGGGTCTCTATTCTATTCCAGGTCTATGTGTCTGTCCTTAGATTAGCACCACACTGTTTTGATTACTGTAGCTTTATATTAAGTTATAAAATCAGGTAACTGAGAATGTTCAACTTAGTTTTTCTGTTTGAAGACTATTTTGGCAATTAATAATAAAGTGCAAAGTAGAGTTTGTAAACTATATGTGTTATGTGTAAAGATTTATGCTGATGACACCCATATTTATATTTTAAGCCTGACTTATTCTGAGCTTCAGACTTAAAACTGCCTGACATCTCCACCATGATTCTCAATATTAACATACTAAAAACAGTTTTTCATCTCTTCTTTGAAATTTGCTTCTCCCGGTTTCTACATCTTAGTAAATGGCATCACACACTTTTTCTCTCTCTTTTTTTTTTTTTTACCACTGCTTCTCCTCCCATCCTCTCCTGTCCCATATCCTATCTCTCAGCAAGTCCTGTTGGCTTTTTCTTCCAAACATATCCCCAATCTGACCACCTCCATCCTCATTACCCTAGTCCAACTTGCAGTCATATTTCCCTTAACTCCCTGCCCCAATCCATTCTCTTTACAGAAGTCAAGAAGTCTGAGAAAAGATGAATTCTGGAGTCTTACCTTTAAGACGGTGGTCCAAGTATTCTAGGACTAATTTAAACATTTGAATTAATGCAAGAATTAAAGATCCAAATGCTAGGGATCCTGTGTGATATCTGGGCAAAGATAAAATGAGAATCAAAGTCAAAATATCTTTACTACTAACTAAAAGGATGCTAAACAATTTTAACAGGTAAAAAGGATCTGCAGAAGGATAGGGAAGAGTTTATTACACTTTCTTATTCAGGTTGATAAAGGTCTTCTTAGAGGATTTTATATGATATATATCTATATTGCCCTTCATCTACAAAAATGATACCAAAAACCTGTCATCATAAAATACAACGTTTGGGCTAAGCAATGGAAAGAAGTCAAGTTAATTCTTAATTTTTATTTTGGTGCCCTCCCCTATTACCTGTCTTCAGCAACCTATGGCTTTTAGAAGGATGTTGGCCTGGGTAGGGACTGTAAAACTGTGGCTATAAAACCAGACATAGCCAATGGACATCCATGAATCTTAAATCATACCTTTGACCTCATTTGTATTTTGCCACTTGAATTATATAAGCATAAGATTGAATTATAAGCACACTAAACATAACTGGGAAGACAGATGTAGGATTCCATGTGGAACTTACCGTATGGCTCGTCCAAATGCAGTAAAAACTGGATACTGTGGGATGTCATCAGGTTTTTTCAAGGCCCAGTAATAAGAAGCAAAGGCACCAGCAAGGGCACACTGACCCAGTGCAATGATGAAGTTTATAAGCCAGAGAAAGACAAATAGGTTGAACATCTGGAAGGTAGGGACATACTGATGGTATAGGCTCTTTCCACCATAGAAAGCAAAGTTACACTGAGCCCCAGGGCAAACTCTGGCAATTTCAGTTGTATTAAAAATCTGCACTCAAAAAAAATACAGATAATATAGTATGAAATGCCATTCCAAGATAACACATTCCCTACCTTGTCTTCTTGTGTAACCCCCCAAATGCATGTCCTACTCTTTTCACATTAACTTCTGCAGTTAGTCCTATTTTCTTTTTTGAATATATAGTTTTTTTTAAGATTTGAGAGTGAGCAAGCATGAGAGAAATCATGATCACAAGTTGGGGGGAAGGGGAGAGGGAGAAGCAGACTCCCCGCTGAGCAGGGAGCCCAACAAGGGGCTTGATCCTAGGACCCTGTAATCATGACCTGAGCCAAAGGCAGATGCTCAATCCACTGAGCCAACCAGGTGCCTCTGTTCTTCCTATTTTCTATCCCATCACTTTATATTATTCCTTATGAGCACTGTAAAGTATTTCATTTTCTATCATATGGTCACCACTCTGTACCCACTAAAATTTCACATTTATTACTGTTGTTGTTGACCATTCCAGCTTCTTCTATGGGCTCAGGAAATAATAGTGCTTTGTCTCTATTCTGCCTACCATTTCAGGGCTCTCCTACTAACACCTGATCCACCCTTCCCTTCTTAACAGTGGTCCCCATTAAGGTCTCTATTTCTGAATGATTTTTACAACTGCTAGGTGAAATGTAGTAGAGTTCTGTATTGAAGTAAGTAAAAGAGAGAGAGTTTCTTTGGCTTACCTCTGGGTTACAGGTTGTATTTTCATGTTTACATGTCCTTTCTGGGGATATGACTTTGTATATAGGTACCCCCGATGTAGCCAAGTAACTGGGTTAACCTATTAAGGATAAACTATTCCAACTGGTAGATAGAAAGTAGATGGACAAGAAAATAATGTAAATAACTCAAAAACCTGCAGAGAGATTAACTTCAAAAAAACTTCTAATCCTTTAATAATTCATACATTTTTTCAGACCGGGAATAATATAACATGGGTCAGCTACACTGAGTGGCCCCTTAACAGTAGAATACAAAGGAATTTTCTTAGGTTATTGCAAAGAAGAAGTACCATATGTGAAGACAAAACAAAATCTACCATATGACCTATCTGGGGGGAAATTCAATCAGTAGACAAAGTTTTTTAGAGCTTACCAAAAAAAAAAACCAAAAAACAAAAAAAACCTTTAGGATGTTCTGAGTCTTCCTAGGATGGGAAGCACTGGACACAAACTCTTGGTTCTTAAATAGTAGTGTGGACCTGAGGTGTAAAGATGTCAACTACCAAAGGATACATTGCTGTCACTGCCCAGTAGGCAATACAGATGGAGAGGAAAATGAAAGTTAAAACCGGATAAATTAATGTAGTAGGGAGGTATCCAATGGCTCTGAAATAAAGCAAAAGGTTGAAATTCAAAATGATTCAGATATAATTTCTCAATTAAATCTTTATCTGTTAAAACTAGAAATAAGCTTTAAAATGAATCCATTCTAAGAATGGTGGTAATAACCATTGACTCTTTTTTGCTGATCATTCTGGCATTTTCTTAAAAAAAATTAAAATTCTTAATTGGCTTTTAAATTTTACTTAAATGTTATTTGTTTTTAGTAATTAGAGGCCTTATTTTAATGTTCATATTGGATTCCTGTCAAAAGTTCCCCAAAGGTCCCCCAAGTTTCTGTATGACTCAAAGATTTGATACCCTAAACTTTCTCCTCTTTGGTTATTTCTGTATGACTCATAAGGATTTGATACATTATAATCATAGTTCTTCCTTTTGTTTAGATTCTTAGACTCTCAAAATTGGAGAGGACCTTGAGATCATCTGATCAAATATTGAGAATCCCTTCCTAATTCAGGAATCCCTTCTATGTTATCTTTTAAATATGTTCATTAGTTTCTGGTGACCATATGGAGTGATAAAAACTTACTTTTGTATGACAGTGCTTATTCTATTCTCTTAATACCCAAAATATTAGAAAGTTCTTCCTTATCAGCTAGCCTGTTACTTATATCCACTACCTTTTGGAGAAAAAATGGTCACCTTTTCCATATAGCAGCCCTTCAAGGAACTCCTTATTCTTTCATACTCCAGTATAATCATTCCTTTAATATTTCCTCATAAGTCATGGTGTCTGAAATGTTCACCATCCTAGTTGCCCTGTTCCTACTTTTGAATAATCTTTTCAGCATATGACACTGGAAACCCAATACTGTTTGATATAACCACTAAGAACTATGATGGAACTATTTCCACTCCTAATGCAATGCATTGGCATATCTTAGATGCTTTTTGCATTTGTTACGTTGTTCACCACACTATTTGAGCTAAGTTCTCTTTCTCCAGATACTGCTATTAAGCAAAACACTGAGCATCTCTATGTTTACCCTGTATTCTCATACCAATTTATTCCAGCTCTTACTTTCCCTTGAAAAAAATTATCAACATGTCACAGTTGTATTGGCGCTTTCACACACACACACACACACACACACACACACGTGTAACAGTGGGGCAAGTTACAATGAATTGTACAATATATTATTTAAGAAAATAAACCCAGCAAATGAGGAGTTTTCAGTGGCTAATGACAGTGTTTCAGTTATGGGTAGGAGAGAGAGTATAACAAACTGCCTGTTAACTATTTAAACCAATGGATTCAAGTGGCACCCTTATTATAGATGACAGTTTTGTTAAAATAATCCTTACAGACTATTTAAAATAATTTGGTCTTTGGTCATTAATAACTTAGTTTTTCATCATTCTAAATAGAATGCATGGTCTGTTGGCCTTATAGTAATGCTTTTCCTATTTCTTCCATACATTATTCAAAAGTTTAAAGTATTATCCTCAAGTGACCTTTGGAATAGTTTAGAAACTGTAGGTATCATTATCTCCCAGCATGAATTTTAGGGTTTATTTTGTAGATTTTTTTTACAAAAATGGTTCTGGGTGTAAAGTGTTCTGAATTAAGAGTTGTAGATAGAAAATGTATAGTCTGGTGTTCCTAGGATCAATTATTCTGTCTATTAGCAAATTTTGTCACTCATATAGAAATGGTAATAGCACATAATTGACTTTATAGAATTATGATTTAAAGTTTTGCAAATGATCTCAACCATCAATGTTAACATATGATTCAGCAGGGGAATAATACAATATATAATACAAGTTATTACTTTTACATAGCACTTTATCACTTACTTTCACATGTTATTCTAACATACATTTGGTATTCAAAAAGTGTTAATACATACACTACACAGGTTTCAGCCTTAGTTCATCCTATGATAATTGAGGTCTGGGGATACTGAGGGATTTGTTAGCATGACCTTTCTAATAAGTTGTCAAGTCTGAACTTCAGTCTTCTTGAAAGGAAAGATTTGTTTAACAAGTCTTAAAGGGGAAGTCTATCTACACAATAGGCAGTGACTGATATACATTATGTGAGTTTCTCCATCAGGGACTTACTTGCTCCCTTCCTTCAGCAGGGCAATGGAGATGCGGATTCGTTCCCTGAGGAAGATCAGCATGAGGATGATAAACACTTCAAGAAGGCAGAGTATTATCACTTTAAACAGGAAAAAAAAATTAGTGTGTGATAACAAATCAACCCCCAAAATAAACTTTCTCTGCAAAAATTTAGGACTGAGTTTCATGACTTTTTCTGCCAATTCTGACACTCCATAAGTTAAGCAGTGCTACCTCTCCCAAAATGCTAATCTTAGAAATTCATTTCCCAAATCTCCAAGAAATGCTAAGAAATCTAGATTAAAACATTTAGCTAGAGTTTGAGCAACTCAATTGGTCAGGCTTCATTTTATCTATAGAAACATTTCACACCATTTGTAGAAATGAGAGAAGGAAGGTCTGCTGTAGGCAGCTCTATTTCAGATGTTTTCACTTTCACTTCATTGAGTAAGAGAATCATTACAGAAGAAACTCTTTGAACTGTCCACCCTGGGCATCACAATGCCTCTTCATTAATTGACCTTGCTGACTGACAGGGCAGGCTCTTGGCTGCCACATTTTTATTTTGTGACTCTACCCATCATGGCTACCATTGATGGAATCAGGATGTAAACCCAACCCCATTTGTCTAATAAAACTCTCAGGATTAGAACTAAGGGAGTCTACTTCAGTTTTGAATTGAAGTTTGTGGACCTCTTGAACTTCAAGTTATATAAACTTAATGAACTATGTCACCTTTATGTGAAATAAGTGAATTTGCAAAGACAGAATAATGTGTATGTATATTAAAGAAACACAGCAGAGAGGCAGTCTTGAGTTCTTTTGACTTTCTGTTTCCTGGATCCAAGTACACCTGAAAGTCCAGCTGCTTTTCTGCTTTTCTGAGTTTGGTGAGACGCTTCTATATTCTTAGAAGTATCAATGCCTTGCACCCAGCTTGTTCCAATTTTCTTTTCTTTTTGGCTACCTTCAGTTAGTTTCTTTTTACTTTAAACCAAATGGTCCTAATTACTATATTTCATCAATTCAAAGACACATCTTTAATTTAGTTATAACTTTTCACGAAAAATAAAATCCTACATTAAATGTCTTTTCATTGATTATAAGATGCATCCTGACTTCAGATATGTTAAAAAGTGAAAAGTTTGGATCTTAAAATTAAGGAAATATAGCACTGCTAATCATAGAATCTGAAATTATAGAAGAAACTTAATGGAAATTTAAATTCCCACCTGCAAAAGAATCTGCTCTATTACATCCTTTGCTAGACAGTTATTCTGCTCATGTCTGAGCACTTTAAGTGATAGGACACTCATTATTTCATTTGATTGTTACACCACTAAGATTCTGATGTCACAGTACACATCAGTTAACATCTCCTAGTAGAAATCAGTTAACCCAGAGATGTGAGAGGATCTTACATCTTACATCTTCTTTTAGTTAAATTATGTATGTATGTATGTATGTTTTCATGCATATTTGATTCTCTTAAAACAAACTGAGTCCAAAATTATGGGGTATAGCCATATTAAGCTAAAATCATTATCTTCAGACAAACCTAAGAAAATGAGATATACCAAGAATCGCTTTATCTGAAATTGCATTGATAAACAACGTTGCATATGAAGCTTATACCTTTACAAAATTGCATATCCAAAAGGATTAGAGAAATTTTATTGTCCTTTGAATTTATGTACTATATTCCTTTCTTGTGTTTGAGTAAGAGCAAACAATGGAAATCTATTTTTTGAGACCCTGTAGAGAAGCTGGTATAACTAACTTTTCAGAGGAGGAGACTGGGATAACTAATAGCAGAAATGAGATTAGAACCATCTCCTAACACAATCTGAGACTCATAAAAATGATAGTTTTTATATGTATAACTCTGCTTATTTTCAGTGTTTCCATCAATGAGTATAATTTCACATTATGCCCTTTTCTCTGATACCTAGAATTTTGTCCAAACGCAGAGCAAGTAATCAATTAATGTCCAATAAATGGGTTGTGAAAGTGGGGGCTCATTTGAAGAACGATTGGTACTACTAGACTTGAAAATAAAAGCAAACTCTATATCTTCCTCAAAGGACATCATTTAACTTCTCCAGTGGCGGATTCTGATCATGTCAATAATTTCCTTGAAAGCCCTTAAGAGACAGTAGTGGAATGACCACCGAACCTGTAATTAAGATCCACCTGAGAATAAAACTAGAGGTTTCAATACATAATGATGAGATTCATCATCTTTAGACATGATAGATAATTGCAAGTGGATTGCTGAGAAGGTATGGAATCACTCAAATTCAGGAAAAATGATGAGGATACAAGTCCCAAGATGCCTGATTTTTATAATTAAAAAGAAATGGCTACAAATGAAATCATCTTTCTGCAACATATTTGAAAAAAAATTGTTATATGAAGGGAACTAATCTGCATGTGAGCTGGAAGTGGGAAGCCAAAGAACAAGGATGTGGCATTTTGATCCAGCACTGCCCAAGGAAAAGAGAAAAACTGAATGTGGTGGACAAAAGGAATCTGGGGAGGGCGGGGCTTCTGTGCAGGACTAGGTCATCAAGCTTACCAAGAGCCTATAGAATAAAATCTCTCAAAGCAAAGCCCTTTGCTAAAAAGGCTACTCATTATTAATTTTGTTCCCCACGTGCCTTGATTCCAGGAAAGCAGTGTCCTAGATGTAATAGGTCAGCATTCTGGTCAGGAAGGGTATCCTAGTAGTATAAACAACTAAAATGGCACACTGGTTACATAACATGAGCCTGTCCTTGAAAGCCTGACGACTTGTGGGGAAGTGACAAAACCAAGTTTTCACATTTATGGAGATGGGACCCAAACCTGGACCCATGATGCCCCCATCAAGATACTGCTCACCCCTGAGGCTACCTCTGGGCTTCTTACCAGGCCTCCTCGAACCTGCCTTGTTTGGCTCTCTAACTTAAACAATATGAAGAATTTTCTTTAAAGCAACATGTAATTAGAGATTATTTTTAAATCTTGATTAAAGAACATGAAATGGGAGGAATGTTATAATAAAACCACTTTAGGAATATAAAATTAAAGCTATCTCTGATATCATCTTGCTTTAAAAATTCTGTTAATATTACCCTTAACTAATTCAATAATCTGAATAAACATTTCAAAATGTAAATTTATTTTATTACTCATTATTCCAATTCCTGTAATAGTTTAAAAGTGTTGTTATGAAAGAAATTGGTCTTTCTTTTTCCGTTTTTAAAACAAGTTTGAAAAATCAAAGTTTTTTCCTTTTAAAACACCTTTCTTGGATACCAAGTTAATGGCTATAAACATCCACATCCAAATCATTTTAAGGTGAAGGCAAATAGCATGACATCATTGTAAAGTACTATTTTCTTAGATTATATAATAAATTCCCCTCAATGACTTTGCCATTTACTGTAGCTATTAAGATTATAGACACATTTACTTTAATGACATTAGCGATAAATGTATTTAACAGGTTACACCAACCGAAGATTTCCTTTACACAAAGATTCTCTTTCATTATTTAACAAAACCAGTTTTTAAAATCCACTCACTAAATGCAAACCATGTTTGTTTCAGTTGGAAGTACATGCTTATATCTGTCTGAAACCCGATGTCATATATAGTTAAGTGAGAATTTGGCCGTCCCTGAAGATTGCTATGTTCCTGGTAACAGTGCCATATTCCTTGAAAAGAAAAGAAAAACAGACTAATGTAAAATGCTATTTCCTGAAATATAAGTAAGCTATACACTTATACATATTTACATGAAATTGAACAGCATGGTCATTTCTACAAAGGCAAGATTCATATTTACATAGTAAACATTTTATATGGATCTAATATTTTAAATGTACTATATATTCAAAATAAATGTTATCAGTATTTGCCTGGCTGACTATGGCAACATCTGGCTTTAAATGTCCTTTTGACTAGAAACAATTTCAATGTCCATCAACAGGGACTAGCTAAATAATTTATGGTATATTTGTACAGTAGAATACTAGCTTTTCATATAAAGAAGAGAAAGTGTACTGATATTCAATGATCACTAAGCTGTTTTGATAAGTGAAAAAAGGTACAAAATGACATAAAAAGTGTGCTATAATTCACATAAGATGATCTTTATATATATTTTCTTATATACACATAAAGTATCTCTGAAAGGATACACAGTAATGTATTTTTTACTTCCAGGGAAAGAAACTTAAGAACCAAGGAATAGAACAAGAAGGAAATTTCACTGTATAGACTTTATACCTTTTGAAATTTGAAGCACACAAATATACAATCAATTTAAAAAGCAAATTTGTAAAAATCATTTAAGTTGAAAAAATGATTTTGAATTTAAAAAATGTTTTTTGGTGAAGTCATGTCTTGATGGAATTACCTAATGCATATTCTTATCAAAGATTTTTTCCCAGCAAAGTAAATATGGATTAACCAATTCCCTATGACACTACATTTCAGACTGTATAATGATTTTTTTTAAAGATTTATTTATGAGAGGGCGCCTGGGTGGCTCAGTTGGTTAAGCAACTGCCTTCGGCTCAGGTCATGATCCTGGAGTCCCGGGATCGAGTCCCGCATTGGGCTCCCTGCTCAGCGGGGAGTCTGCTTCTCCCTCTGACCCTCCCCCATCTCGTGCTCTCTATCTCTCATTCTCTCTCTCAAATAAATAAATAAAATCTTAAAAAAAAAAAGATTTATTTATGAGAGAGAGAGAGAGGGAGGAGAGAACAAGTGGTGGAAGAGGCAGAGGGAGAGAGAGAATCCCAAGCAGACTCCCTGCTGAACGAGAGAGTCTGATACAGAGCTCAATATCACGACCATGAGATCATGACCTAAGGAGAAATCAAGAGTCTGATGCTTAACTGACTGAGCCACGCAGGTGCCTGTTAGACTGCTTAATGACTTTTTACATGATCTAGACAAAGTAAAAAAAAAAAAAATAGAGTTAAGAAGTTTATTTTTATGAGCAATGAGTCTGGATTAGATACACTGGCAATGTTCTAGCAATAATGAGAAAAACTGCTTTTTAAACCCCAACTATAAGCTAACAGTTTTTTTTTTTTTCTAGATAAAGGTAGGAGAGTGAGGTCCATGGAGAGAGGCAAGACTAGACTAGAAGGGACATTTGTTTCTCAAAGAGATATAAGACAAATCTCTTTCAGGTCCTTCTTTCCCAGTGTATTTTTAAAAATGCTTTGGGGGCGCACCTGGGTGGTTCAGTCAGTTAAGGGTCAACTCGATGTCAGCTCAGGTCATGATCTCAGGGTCCTGGGATGGAGCCTGCACTGGGCTCCGTGCTCTGCAGGGAGTTTGCTTGAGGATTCTCTCTCTCCCTGTCCCTCTGCCCCTCCCTCCACTCACACTCTCTCTCTAAAATAAATAAATAAATCTTTAAAAAAACAAAAATGCTTTTGGCATATTTGATACATACAAAATTATATGTAATAACAGATTTAAGTTTTAAAACATATAGTCAAGGGGCGCCTGGGTGGCTCAGTCGGTTAAGCGACTGCCTTCGCCTCAGGTCATGATCCTGGAGTCCTGGGATCGAGTCCCACATCGGGCTCCCTGCTCAGCGAGGAGTCTGCTTCTCCCTCTGACCCTCTTCCCTCTCGTGCTCTCTATCTCTCATTCTCTCTCTCAAATAAATAAATAAAATCTTAAAAAAAAAAAAACATACAGTCAAATCAACACATATGGATGCATCACCTAGTTTAAGATTTTATGATCTTAAGTTTGCTCTAATTAAGCAAAATAAAACTTTTTCTTTTTTCTTTTATCATACCTCCCTGCCTCTCTCCACCAAAGAATAATTATTCTGAATTTTGTGCCTATTAGTCTCTTATTTTAACAAAGATTTGTTGAAATCTCCCCTAAGGGACATTCATAACTCATACAAGTTTTTTCTATGATTTATCCTTATTGTTCTATGAATTTTGAATCTACTTTATTAGATGCATATATGTTTAGAATTGGTATATCTTTTAAGCAAATTAAATCCCTTCTAGCTCTAGTAATGCTTTTTATTTTAAAATCTGTTTTGTCTGATTAATATGGCAACTGCAGCTTTCTTTTGGTTAAAGATTCTAAATAAATTTATACCCCTTTCACCAGTTTCTTCCACCAACCCCGCCCCCCACCCCCGGCAACTACTCATCTGTTCTCTGTATCTATGAGCTTGGCTTTTTAATTTTGTATTCTTAATTTTTAATTGAAATATAGTTAACATACAATATAATATTTGTTTAACAGTGATTTGACAATTCTATACATTACAAAACACTCACTAGGGAAAGTATAGTTACCATCTGTCATCGTATAAAGTTATTATAATATTATTAACTATATTACCTATGCTGTACCTTGCATCCCCATGACTTGTTTTATAACTGGAAGTTTGTACCTCTCAATCTCCCCACTCTCCACCCCTCTGGCAACCATCAATTTGTTCTCTATATTTATGGGTCTGTTTCCGTGCTTGTTTTTTAGATTCCACATATAAGTAAAATCAATTGGTATTTTTCTTCTACTTACTTCATTTAGCATAATACTCTATAGATTCATGTTGTCACAAATGGCAAGGTTTCATCCTTTTTAATCCATTTTTTATCAATTTCTTTATCCATTCATCCACTGATGGTTGTTTCCATATCTTGGCTATTATAAATAAGGTTGCAATGAACATGGGGGTGCATATATCTTTTTGAGTTAGTGTTTTCATTTTCTTCAGGTAAATACCCAAAAGTGGACTTGTTGAATCAGACGGTATTTCTATTTTTAATTTTTTGAGGAACCTCCATACTGTTTTCCATAGTGGCTGAATCAATTTACATTCCTACTAACTGTGCACAAGGGTTCATTTCTCTCTATATCCTTGCCAACACTTAATTCTTGTCTTTTTCATAATAGGCATTCTAACAGCTGTGAAGTGCTATCAGATTGTGGTTTGGATTTGCATTTCCCTGATGAATAGTGATGCTGAGTACCTTTCATGTAACTGTTGGCCATCTGTAGGTTTTCTTTGAGAAAATGTCTATTCAGATTTTCTGCCCATTTTTAAGTTGGGTAGTTTGATTTTTTAAATTTTACCCTTTTTGCTACTAAATTGTGTGAATTATTTATATTAGCTCCTTATCAGATATCTGATTTACAAATATTTTCTCCCACCCAATAGGTTGTCTTTTCATTTTGTTGAGAGATTTCTTTGCTGTTCAGAAGCTTTGTAGATTATGTAGTTCCACTTATTTATTTTTTATTTTATTACTTCTGATTTTTAGGTCATATTTAAAAAAATCATTGCCAAGAACTATATCAAGGAGCTTGAAACTCCTTGAAAACATACTGCTTATGTTTTCTTCTAAGGGGTTTTATGGTTTCAGGCCTTACATTCAAGTATTTAATCCATTTTGGGTTAATTTTTGTGTATACTGTAAGATAGTGGTCCAGTTTCATTCTTCTCTGTGTGCCTGTCCAGTTATCCCAACACAATTTATTGAAGAGACTGTCCTTTCCATTGTATATCTTGGCTCCTCTGTCATAAATTGATATGAGTGGGTTTATTTTTGGGCTCTCTATTCCGTTCCATTGATCTATGTGTCTGTTTTTATGCCAATACCATACAGTTTTAATTAACATAGCTTTGTAATATAGTTTGAAATCAGGGCATATGATACCTCCAGTTTTGTTCTTTCTCAAGATTGCTTTGGCTTTTTGGTTTTGTGGGGGTTTATTTGTAGTTCCATACAAATTTTAGGATTATCTGTTCTACTTATTTTAAAAGTGCAATTTGAATTTTGATAGGGATTGCACTGAATCTGTAGATTATCTTGGGTAATATGCAGATTTTAACTATATTTATTCTCCCAATCCATGAGCACAGAATATCTTTCCATTTATTTGTGTCTTCTCCAATCTCTTTTATTAATGCCTTGTAGTTTTCAATACACAGGACTTTCACCTCCTTTGTTAAATTTATTCCTAGTTATTTTATTCTTCTGATGCAACTGTAAATGGGATTATAAATGGATAGACCACCCAGACAGAAAATCAGTAAGGAAACAGCAGCTTTAAACAACATATTAAACCAGGACTTAACAGATGTATATAGAACATTCCATCCAAAAACAACAGAATACACATTCTTTTCAAGTGCACATGAAGTATTTTCAAGGACAGATCATATGTTAGGCCACAAAACAAGTCTAAATAAATTTAAGAGAACTGAAATCATATTGAGTATCTTCTTTGACCACAATAGATGAAACTAGAAATTAATTACATGAGGAAAACTGGAAAATTCACAAATATGTGGAAATTAAACAACATGTTACTGAACAACCAACAGGTCAAAGAAGAAATCAAAAGGGAAATACCTTGAGACAAATGAAAATGGAAATATACCAAAATTTGTGGTACACAGTAAAAGTAGTTCATAACGGCACAGGTTTACTTCAAGAAACAAGAAAAGTCTCAAATAAACAATCTAACTTTATACCTCCCTTGAGATATAAAGAACAAATGAAAGCCAAAGTTAGAAAGAAGGAAATAACAAAGATTAGAGCAGAAATAAATGAGATAGAGACTAAGAAGACAATACAGAAGATCAATGAGACTAAGAGCTAGTTCTTTGAAAAGATAAAAAAAAAAATGGACAAGTGTTTAGCTAGACTCACCA